ATCTACTTAGAAAGGTGAAGGAAACGCATGCTACTTGTATACATCTAAATATTAAAGGGACATATTTAACAGATTGAACTATAGTATACTTTAAGTGGTTTACTTAAAATTCCATACTGTGGTCACAACTCCTAATTCATTCCGATGAGATGTCTATGATTGTTTATGAAAAAACTGTGAAGCTCCCCAACAAACAATTTGAGCTGAATAAAAGCTTAATAAGCCACTTTTTAGCTGAGGAAGCAAATTGTTGCCTGAATAAGCTCTTATTCACCTTTCAATGTTTGTTGGATCAGTTTTATGAATTGAACACTTTTCCAGAAGTTCCGAATTTCCTGGAGGCCCATCCCGTGGATCCCAGGATCCATTTTCTGCTCACAACTCCGAATTAATATTGATATTGAAGAGTTTAGAAAAAATCACTAAGGTCTATTTTTTTCCTTGATTTAATTTCCGTCGATCTTGTTTTCCGTGCTGAGCACCAATGCTACCGACGCCAGGAAGGCAGCTCCCACTCCTGGACCCTACCTATCGACCCATCAACTCAGGAAGGCGTGATCAGAGATGTTATGCCTCAGAACATGCCGGCAGGCCAGCTGGGGTGAGAGGTAATCACGCTTACCACTACACCACCGAGCCCGCTATCGCTAAGATCTAGAGTCAGTTTAATGAATTTACCAATTTTAAGGATGTTTGTGGATTTTCCAGAGGTCTCTTCCGTGATCCCCGGGGCCACAATTCAATCAAAACTCTGAAATCATTAGGAAAGACGTCTGTGAGTGCTTTTAAAAAAACCACGGAGCTCCAGGATCAGTTTCAGGAATTGACCAAGTTTATGGATGTTTCGGATCTTCCGAAGGACTTTCCTGTAGTCCCCAGAATTCACATTCCGGTCACAATTCCGAATTCATTCCGATAAGATGTCTATGAGTAGTTTCGACAAACCTGCGGTGTTATAGGATCGGCTTCATGAATTAACCACTTTTACGGATGTTGCCGATCTTTTAGTGAAACAACCCGTAGTCCCCAGCATCCATTTCTGGTCATATCTCCACATTCATTGTGATAAGACATCTTAGAATGGTTTCGTCACATCGCCGTTGGAATCTGTTTCTTGAATTGTCTACTTTTACAGATGTTCCGGATCTTCCGGAGGACCATCGCATAGTCCCCAGAGTCCATATTCCGGTAACAACTTCGAATTTATTCTGATAATACGTCTATGAGTGGTATCGTAAAAAAAAAACCTTGGAGTTCTAGAATCGGTTTAATGAATTGACCACTTTTTAGTGGACCATCTCATAATCCCCAGCATCCATTTTCTGGCCATAACTCTGAATTAATTGTGATAAGACGTCTGAGTGGTTTCGTAAAAAAACCGCAGAGCTCTAGGATCATATTCAAGCATAGACCACTTTTACGGATGTTCAGGATCTTCCAAAGGACCATCCCGTAGTCTCCAGAGTCCATTTTCTTAACACAACTCCGATTTCATTCTGATACGATGTTTATGAGTGGTTTCGAAAAAACTGCGGAGTTCTAGGATCGGTTTCATGAATTAACCACTTTTCGGATGTTCCAGATCTTTTTGTGAACCATCCCGTGAGCCCCAGCATCCATTTTCTGGTCACAACTCCTAATTCATATTGATCATACGTCTATGAGTGCTTTCGAAACCATGGAGCTCTAGGATCAACTTCAATTATGGACCAGTTTTCCGGATGTTCTTGATCTTTTAGTGAACCATCCCGTAGTCCCCAACGTCCATTTTCTGGTCAAAGTCTCAATTCATGGTGATAAGACGCCTATGAGTGGTTTCGAAAAAACCGCGGAGCTCTAGAATCTTTTTCGTGAATTGACCAGTTTTACGGATGTTCCGGATCTTCCGAAGGACCATCACATAGTTCCAAGGGTCCATATTCCGGTAAAAACTCTGAATTCATTCTGATAAGACGCCTATGTGTGGTTTCGAAAAAACCGTGGAGCTCTAGGATCAGTTTCATGAATTTATCACTGTTACAAATGTGCCGGATCTTCCGGTGGGCCGTCCCGTATTCTCCAGAATCCATATTCTAGTCACAATTCCAAATTCATTCTGATAAGACGTCTTTGAGTGGTTTGAAAAAAAAACCGCGGAGCTTTAGGATTAGTTTCATAAAATGACCACTTCCACGGATGTCCCGGATCTTCCACAGGACCAGACTTGTGTACTAAAGGAAACTTCACAAAAGGTTGCCACCCATCTGCTTAACAACTTCTCCAAAGACATAAGAAAGGTATCTCTTCAAATTGCCGTACAATTAGTGTTTGGTCTCAATTAGCTCAAATCCCATATGCTACGTGTATTCGTTAATGCCGGATCGACCGTACTACCAACAATCAATACGAAACTAACGATTTTAAATTGGCTCACCACTTTAGTAGCCTATTGGTCCCAAGCAAACGATTAACGTACCCTATTCTAGTTGAAATTCTATTACTACACTATGTTTGTTTTGATTCGCTATGAAAGTTTGACAGATAACATCAGGGGTGTGTGGATTCATGCAGAACATGCAGGGGTGAGTGAAATAGCTTGGGACTGCTTGGGACCGTTGTTCTGGTACTGAGTGAGCCAAAAATAATAATGATTTTCTTCGGGACCCAGTGGTCTAAGAGTTACCTCTATGGTACTACTCGCATTCTCATTGAAATTTCTTTTCATGAGCCTTATAATGGAGTGTATAAACATAGGAATAACTGTTAAATAGACTATTAAATAATATTTTAATGTGGGCTTGTTTTAAAGCAAATTTTGGGAACTTCGTAGTCAAAGTGTTTTTAACTTTTGATAGAGATTGGATGGTTGGAAATCCCAAAGATAAATCGGATTGAGGAAGACGCGGGAAGTGGCGGGTGTGCAAAATTTTGGTGCTTTGTGTTCATAGGACAATAAAAGTCCTGTGTTTTAGGTTTTTATAATGCCCTCAATGGCAGACCACAATCCTAGCCTTTCGCGATATGAAAAGCAACCGGAAAGAGTTGGAACCGGTGGAGAACATTGTTGGAGACCGACTATAGAGGATGATGAATAGACTTCTGTAGTTTATTTTGTGTGAGTTGCAGCATTATTAGAATTAAGGGTACTATTGGGGTCTGATTACTGCCTCTTTCTCTTGAGTCCACTCTAGAACCTATATTTAGTATTTAGATCTATAAGTGAACTACTGGTCTGAGTACCTTTGGTATATTCAATTAGAGGCTGTCCCTGAATATACAGTGAAACAGCACGTAATGTTGTGAACAACTTCAATGACAGTTGTCCAGCAGTGCTCCCATTTTATTTACAACTATCCAATGCCTACGAGATTGTGCCGAAGGTGTGCCGATGGATGTGCCCAAGCTGTGCCAAATCTAATTTTGGCACAATGTGCTGAGTAACTTACCCCTTGTAAAGACGAGTTTATTGCTGTATGTACAGTGTTGTTCGATATAATAGCAGCGCATACTGACATGATGTAGCTTTGTTGTCTTATGATTAATTAAGCTGAAACCTTAGTCACAGAACTACAACCATAGAAGTAACTCTAAGACTAGAAGGTCCCGAAATAACGTGCTCAACTTTTTGGCTCAGCTCTGATACTCTCTTCGGTCCCAAGCTAATCGATTCACCCCTCGAAACATAGGGAAAACCAATAAGCCCTCATTTTATCTGTCAAACTTTCATAGCGAATCAAAACAAACATTGCGTAGTGTAGTAGGTATAGCAGTTATTAGTAAGAAAAGTAAATTATACCAAAGCGTGTACAAGGTAAATCAAATGAGATCGGGGTAGTAATTACAAAGAAAAAAGGGTATGCGCAAATCTGTGTGTATGTAAAGAAAGCTCATAACTGCACGAAAATCGAAATGCTAATCTGAACCGGAAAACGATCGCCGAGGTTGAAAGCCAAAGTTCGGAAATCGTTTCCAGTACGAGAGTTAACCAATTCCGAATGAACGTGGGGTGAGAATGAGAGAACAGAATATGGTATAGAGTAATCGGAACGAAGGTGAAGTCTATCAGGAAGCGAGTCTTTTTCGGATTAGAGAGAGATAGGCTAGAATGATGAAATTAGAATGATGGAGTGAGAAGACACCAAACCGAACTGGAGAGATTCGGAAAAGGGGAAATTAACGAAGTAGCATACTCGACTTCGATTCGAGGCTAGCACAAGGATTCTGTTGGTTACATTTGGCGTTAGTAGACGTGTTTTTTTGGAGCCATGGCGGGTAAACGGAAGTCGGCTGGAATAATGCCCTTGAAGCGGCACGACACGTAGTACTAGAATTTCGACTAGAATGGGGTACGTTAATCGTTTGCTTGGGACCAATAGGCTAGTCAAGTAGTGAGCCAATTTAAAATCGTTACTTTCGTATTGATTGTTGGTAGTAGCAGGTTGTATTGTCTATCAAAAGCAACAGCAAATGCACCGAGAAACGTTAAATCTAGCGAGTTATTAACAAAAGAGAAAATCGACGAAGAGAATCGATCATCGCGTATACGCCCTTATGCATGCTCACTGTCGAAATGATTTTTATCAGCACTGGCCATAACTGGCACAATTCCCTTTATCCTGGGTCTGGTGGAGAGAATAATTTTCTAATTTTGATCTGTCAAAGTCGAAGCGGTTTATTTCCTGTAGATAGAGCTGGTAAATGTCACGAAAATGTAATGTCGAGACATTAGTTTCCCCCATACAATTTAGTGGAATTGTGATTAATTTTACTCGACGGTTGCCTTTTTCAATAGCCTGTTCACTCAAAACGCAGCAACCAAGGCAATAATTCAGCCCATCACTGTACTTCCGCACGCTATGCTCTCTGGCAGCATAGTGGCAAACTGTTGCATACCCCTGCAACTGCCTCACCCCGTAAACCCCCTACGAACTATGTATGGAAGAATCCACAACATTATTCAGCATCATCCTGCACGTCGTCGTCGTCGCGTCGGCATCATTCATTCGTCGCCCGCCCGTTGCGCATTAAGAAGACACGACCCGCTGTCCATCGAGTTTAGTTTCGCGCCAACCATCGTCTCGTTCGGTTCTACATTTATTTCTGTCCGCTCGTTCGACAATTAATTGTGGTTGAAAAAATAAAAAAAAGAAGAGTTGTGCTTTAAGTAGGCATTGCGACCAACTGTTGAATCGTTTAACCGCAACTATTGTGAGGATATAGTTTTGTTTTCGCACCCGAAACAGCAAGCAAAAGTCAAGGCAGAATAATGGCCGTTAGTCGATTGTCGATCGTGAAGTTCCTGGAGTTGGTAAATATCATTTCATGGCGTGGAATGGGCGAACAGTTGGAAGCTCGTACGTTATCAACGAACTGCCGAAGCACAGCTATCGCTAATGATTGGAAGTGATAAGCCCCCCGTGTTTTGTGCAAATATCATTTAACTAAGTAATCGAATAATCAAACTGTTTTGCTATCTTCTACTTAAATATTTACAATGCGGTCGCTGGACACACCTCGGCATTGTTGAACCAGAGAGTAGAACGGTTTACTTTTATCTCTGACTGCATCCGTTCTTATTTGCTATTGACCAATGAGTGAGTGGTGGAAGATAATCTTTTGACCGTTTGTTTTTTTGTTTATGAAGAAATTTACTTTCCGTTGAGATCAAAGTGCCCTGACGGATCATTAGTTGGAAGGTTGGAATGAGGAAACATGGCTTCAAGCTCAAGGCAAGCAACAAAGGTGATGACTAATACTAGCTCCCAATCCGGCACGCCAATGTTTGTCATTCGGTAATGTACGATTCTAGAATCGACAAGAAGCCGTTGATTCCGGAAGGAAGGGGGAATAAAACTAACGCGACGACTTTTACGATGACAACGGCGACGACGGAAGCAACAGAAATAAGGATGACGTCGACTACTGCGACTGCGTTGTGTTGAGGATGATGCTGGTCGGCAATCCGGGCTGCTGAAATGGCGGTTAATGTTTTCTTACAGCTGGATTTTATGTGATCGCAAGCTGTCATCCATGGAGATGATGCTGCTGGTGACGATGGAGACAAAGAAAACGTATCGATTGGGGGTGCAGTGCTTAGAAAATTGAAGTCATCGTGTGCCGCCTTGGTGGCGAGACAATATTTAGCAACTAGGTAGGGAGGGAAGCATGACAGACGTCGCAAAAATCGGTTATGGTGGATCGAAGCTATTGGAGGGAGCGTATTAAGAATGAAAGTATGGTAAAAGTTCGCTTAGTGAAAGACCTTTTACTGAAATGCAAATAAAAGGCAGATTCACATCGAAGTACTTTAGATTATTTGACGTCTTCGTTCAAGCCGTATTTTGCATACAAAAATGTATCGGATGCAAATTCTGATATCATTCAAAACTTTCATAAAATTCAGATGACTCATTTCCCGGTCAAATGATTTTGAGATCGCATGCAGATTTCAGTTGATGGATTGTGTTACATTTCTGTCAACTCGAATGAAGTGCACACATGTACTGCACCACATTAAATGTCAAATTTTGATGAAAATAAAAGCGTTAAATTAATAACGCTGGCTCTCAACTTAGTGTGTTTGAGCATTTCCAGCCATTTATGAGCAGTTGTTAATTGAGAGCTTTCTAAGCCTGTACCATTATTACATTAGTACATATTTATTGTGTGTCAATCATACTCTATGCCCAGGCATGTCAAACCAATTTCCAACTCGAAAAACGCCTACACCGCCTCCAGCTGCGCCTCTGCCGACTGCGCCAACACAATGGACAGTTCTGAAAACGATAATGCGGTTATCATGTTTGCTACACATCATTATAATATCCAATAGCGACAAGCTCCGTTCATCATTATGAACTATCGTCACTGAAGATGCCCCAATGGGAATCCCTTATCAGGCGAGAGTAATTAGCTAATCATGAGATTGAGCATGAGCATGATTGACCGCCCACGGTTGCTACTCTGTTATTGCCAGATCAGCTTGGGACGAGAATTCGTCCGGAAAAGTTGTTCAAGTAACGATGAATCGATTAGTTCTGGAATCTGGCAATACGTTGAGCTAGTGATCATAACATGTTCCAGTGTATGCTATATCTCATGATCCTGATCCGCTGGAAAGTTGCTATTTTTGGTTAAGTTCTTCAGGTAACCAAGGCCTTCTGTTTTCTACATGGTGGACAGATCAGTGAAAAAATCATCCACTACACGGCGCTAGCATTCATATGAACTATAAAAATGTGCTATACTGCCGTTTGATGAAAATGTAACGGAAAACAATTTAGTTAATAATTGATCAGAAATCATATATTTTGATTAAGCCGAAAATTTGCAAAACTATCACTGTATCTGTTGAGGAGTATGAAGCTGAAATTATTAACCCTGATGATTAAAATAGCTGTTTGGATTTCTGCAGAAACTAGTATTTGGAATCACCGCCTACTCTAACAGCTGATCATAGCTAAACCAAATTTATATTTATAGATAACCATAGCAGTTTCTTGTTCCACTGCTTCATTACTGGGAATGCTGGGAGTAGTTGTTGTCTCCACCAGAGCATTGGGAACAGATTGTATCGGTTCCAGCTCAAACCCTTGAGAGCAGGACAAAAGTTGCCTGAGATCCGCTTGGTAGTAGATTATCTCAAGCGACTGAGCTATAACCTCATTCGCAGTCACAACTGATGATTGGTTCGAGTTGGGATTCGGTGTTTTTTGGAATTTGTGCTTGTTGCGATACACCTGTATGGAAAATATAAATAAGTAGGATCGGAAATTTAATCCTTACTTGGGATGTTCAGCATAAGATGGTTAAAATCGTATTCCTTTCGGGTTTGGTCCATAGACTGCCCAAATGAGGCGTCATTTTTGCGGAGTGCTTTTTTGCTTGGCCAAAATGACTCGTTTCCGCCGACCCACTGATGTAGAACCACCGTCGCAACGGGTATCCCAGCTTCGCATGTCTGAATGACCAAGAAATAGTCACCTAACAATAATTGGTTCACTTAAATTAATTTCAATTTCTACTCTTTATCTCAAATATGTTTACCTTTACTCATTTTGTATACAATCCCAGGCCACAACAGGGGATGAAAACAATGGACTTACAATAAACGTAATTTATTTTGACAGCTACAAGGCAGTGCTACCAGATATAATTTTGAGCATTTATTCAGCAAATGATAGGTTTTTGTACAACGCTTAATCAATAAGATGAAGTTTTCTTTATTGATATGTAATGAAACTTTTATAGAGCAATTGTGAGGTTTGAGTAACTCAAAAGAAAATATTTGCTTATGTGACTGTAAACTAATGGTTATTCAACTACATAATAAACATTAGAGACTGAAGCTTCAAATACTCCTTTTGATTGACTGAAATGTGTGATCAAGGATGGAGCAGATGGACACTTAGGCAGCATCAAAGTGTGTGTTTGTTTAAAGTATGCTGAAATATTTTTATGAGGTTGGCTACCCAAATTGAGGAGAACAAAAATTTAATTTAAAGCATTGTTAAATAATAGTTAAGCATAAAATAATTCGTAAATGTTGTGAGTCGTTGTCACTGTGACTATCTGATATTAAATATCCACTGTAAGCTTCTAATAAACAAACCAACCTAAATACAGTTACATGCTGAATAAAACACGCTTCAGTAGAGTTAATTCAAGCAAACCAGATAACTAAACTACAGATAGAAATTGAAAGGGTAGTACAGTAAGGGCAACTTTTTTCGACCTTCTGAACTGGAAATGTGGGCTCTCTGTGTGACACTGCACGTGTTGTTGTTCTTCGAGAACCGATTCGTAGACGTTGAGGAAATCCGTTGACAAGAATCCCAAAACTCGGATCACCATCCAGGAGCTACTGGAGGCGGAATGGATTCTATTTTAATCAATTCTGAACTAGTCCAGGTTGAGCGTTAAATGCTTCCTGGTGATTCGGTCGGTTGGTGGTTCTGTTGGTGTGCCGGATAGTGTATCTATGTCTAAAGCTCTACAACAGGCAATGTTAGTGAATGTTTTTGCATCAAAATCCGTGAAACATCTGAAAGTCAATACAGAAGTGCGTAAACTTCCCAATTCCGTGGCAGTTTCTGCACTCCTGAATTGGCTTTCAAAGATTTATAATCAATCCACCCGGTCAACAATCAAATTTTGACACATCCTTACTGCGCATGCGCACAAATAATGCAGTGATACCAGTTACTTTAGAGATTACAAAAAATATGTACCATGGGTGCCAAACAGTGTTAATGAGTGAGCCATGGTGTGCCCTACTGTGTTTTTGGCACACTGTGCTGAGTGACATGCCCCTTGGTTGAAGCTTTATAATGGTTGTACCAATGATTTAAAGCGTAATAAAGGCATACAATTGTATAACAATTGCTGTATCAACATTATTTTTTTCAAAGGTTGCTAAACTACTGTAGTTGAATAGATTCTCCATTTTTGAGTTAAAAAAAAGCTGAATAGTGGTTTTGTTTTCAAATAAGATAAAGATTCATAAACATGAAGCTGAACAGTGATTCTAAAGAATAGTTTTTGTAATTCATTATGTGGTCACATAAGCCACCGATTCTATTGGATTGAGAGACTCTCCCTCTACACAATCATTGTTGTGATTTACTTGGGTTAGTTTTCACTCTCGAACAATTCGCGAAAAAAGGCATTGATTATAATTGCGGTAAGGTTTTTGATCTAATTTTCGTCCTACTAAGCACAACCCGCGCTTTACCTCTCTTTTCTGAGCGGGTTTGAACAAAAAAATTGAATATTTCTGTGAAAGATGCTTTCTAAATGTATTCACCTTTCCATACGTGTTGGATTTGATAAAGAGTCACACATTGTTGAGATATTGTTTAAAATCTAATACTTCTTGATTATAAATTCGTTCTACGAGTTTCAATTCCGTCCTAACGCATTGAAACCCCATTAGATTTTCTTCGTCCTACGGATAAACGTAGAAAAAGGGGATTCACAACGAGCGCTTCTTTTGTTTTGAGAACAATGAGCGTAAATATTCATACAATGCGCTCTAATAGGATTTCTGTTGTAGCTAATGAACTACCCGCATAAACGCGAACCATCACATGACCTTACCGATAATGGTTATAAATTGTTTATAATCCCTGCTAAACTTCAACTGAAATGGTTATGGAACTTTACATGAACGTTTGTGTGATAAAGTTTTAACCTTATGTATTATGGTTTTTCGGAAGCGGACCTTACAAATAATGGGTTGTTAAGAACCATTACCATTCCAAATTCTTGTTTTCTCCATACATTATCGGAAAGAGAACTATATTAGAA